TGTACTTATCTTTATTATAATATTTTGCAGAGTTTTGAAAAGTGTTAAATTTTTTAAAAGTATGAGTAAAAATTATCTAAAATTACCAGATCATTTAGTTAACCTGAGATTGCTATCGGATTGAAGTAATTTGTCGTGATTATCCATTAAAAGCCACCAGATATAATGACTTAGAACTGCGAATATGAATCAGGGTTGATTATTCATGCTAATAACATTGTTACAAGCCAGGAATTGAAGAATTAGAAAACATAAGTTTGCTTTGGATTCAAATGAGTCTCGCTACTGGGATTTTGACTGTATCGCTTTTTCATTTTCTTTATCTGTATTTATTTAGTGTGATTTCGAAGATTAGATACAACATACAAATTCTACACTCTATTCTTTGTTTATAACGAGATTTTCCGAAATTTTCCTGTCTCTTAATACTTTACTTAGTTTCTGGATGACATGTTTGATCATTGTAATGGGTGTTCGGATTTATTTATCATATTTTCTCATCTTATTTTACAATACTACAAAGCAAACACAGCGCCACGCCACAACATCAAAAGTCGAGGAATAAATACGATTTTAAAAGTGTGAGGGGTTGGGGATAAATTATATGCTATAAGTGTGTGGAGGGTGATAAATTAGGCGCAAAAATTGTCTAAATCAGATTTTAAATATAACCATTCTTGATTCTATATTTTTATTTGATACGTTCGTAAAATGAACACATTCAGATCTTTTCTTATTGTAATCATTTTTGTTTTGATTTTAAATACGAAAATATTTTTCCATTTTCGCTTGCATTTATTTTCTGTAATAAGATCTAAAACCTTTCTCCGCATCTAAGACTTCATATAAAAGCTTTAGAAGATAATTATTCGGGAAAAAAAACGAAAATTAAGTTCTATGTCGTATTTTGAAACTTAATTACGATTTTAGATAAATGATAGAGCTCAACTCAACAGCATTTTCGTAGATTGAGGTGAAGAAAACAAATGTCTTTTATGCAGTTCTCATTTCCAGAAGAATGTAGACGGCTGAAGACTCTCCACTTCACTATATCGACGTGGATGTTAATAACGGAACTTCTGTAGCCGCTTGATTTCGACGTCACTCATTTTTAGCTCACACTTTGGTCTGTCTAACTGACAACAATATTTTCTGCCTCCTTACACTTAATAACTAATTCTTACTTCTCGCTTATGTGCTTAGGCGATCATGTATCTTTCAGTACCTGGTAGGTTGTCATTTCTTTCTGCGATAGACCAGTTGCTATCCAAGGCTATAGAATCCGGTCTTCTGATGGAAGAAGATGATTCATACCTTTCCCAAGGGTATTAGCACGTAAGTGAATGTAATGGAATTCGAACGCGACTCTCTGATTTCTCAAGCCGAGCCGCTATCGTGCCTCCGTTTACATTTATTACCTTGTCTAAAAAGTCTTATTGTTTTCCTCCTGACTCTACCATCAACATGGGGTCAGATTTGTTACCATTATGAAGGATTTGCCTGTTCAAAATTCTTTTAGATTAATCTATGAATCATTTTCATTATTTGCTTCGTTTCATCATCACAAAGAAGCCTCCCCACCACCGATATTTCTCCAGTCATGAGAAAAAGTTGTACTTTAAATGAATCTTCATGACTTAAGGTCACTGTTCATATCAAGGAGGGTATGTATACGATGCACCCCTAAAGATGTTGGAGAAATGGTCTGCTGTCCAATGCTCAATCCCTCGACAGAATTCGAAACCGTTCGTGCGGCCTTGGTGGTGATTTAGTTTTTCCACCCTACAATTCTTTATCACACAAATGAAACTTTGTTAGACTCTCACTACTGTATCTAAATTTTCTCTCCTTGCTTCGACCAGCTCAGACCTTCTCAGCCTGGAACCGCCATATCACATACACTGAGGCGACTCATCCACATTCCCTTCATATTCCGTTAGTAAGGAGGAAGTTCCCCATAATTAGTGTATTGTGAAACAGACATCACTACATTCTAAATCTCTTAAAACCTCGTACTAAATGTTATCTATCCTACATAGCTTCATTATATGCACCTCTATTATTATTAGTAAACTTCTTGCTTAAGTAACTTTTCGGTTTTGAATTGACCGAACGAAAGTAATAAAAATGTAATTTAACTTTGTGCAACAGAGCTTTTATATGAATGCAATAAATCAATGATGCATGGTTGTTGAAATATGGCGCATAATCTTTTTTTTATTTTTTTAATAACAATGGAAAATAATTCCTGGATATATAAGTGCTGCATTTTGGGCGCCCCCTCCCCCCCAAGGCGGTGTAATGGTTAGCAAGCTTGTCTCGCTAGATCAATTACGACTGTGTAGTGAGTTCGATCCTCGTTGTGTGCCCCATACTTTCGGCCTTGTGCCACATTCAAGTTACGCTTGGAAAATCACTATAAGTGTTGCATTTAACTCTATGAACCCTGTAGTATCTCTGGAGAGATCGAAGTCTCTACAGAAATATATTCATCCCTGTCAAATATCTGTTGCTTATGGCTTGAACATGTTCATTTTCTTCCTTTAAGTTCATTTTGACAAAATCAATCTGGTGGAATTGGTAGATCAGTTCCATTTGATACAGGTTTTGTTGCTAATGGAAATTAAGATTACAATTCTTTTCGTTCTAACCTTGTATTTCGCAGCAAAATAAATGTCAACTGTTACTATGATATTTTGGTTCCCTCTACATCGTTGAAATTCCAGACACAAGAGATTTTATTTTGACTTCTGTTCATTGTCTCACTTCCTTAACATAGAGCAGACATTTTGAAGGTCCTACTTTTTGGCCTGGTCTCCACGTTTTTAGCAAGAAGGCATAATATGATTTCTCTTTTAACAAAATATGTTCTGTTTGAGTTTTTCATTACAAATATCCACAAATATAGCAGAAAAAGATCAGCAAGGTTTACGTAACCCTACCGAGGTGCTATATACGGTCGTTAACAGCATAATAATATTTTAATTTATCATAAACAAAAATAAACACATCAATTAGTATCAGGCTCTAGACGTGTTTGGAAACAAGTAAAGGGGGAGTACTGAATTCAAAGTAGTATATAACCCTGAACTATAACTAAAGTCGGTTCACCGTTAGCTTTGTGGGTGCATAAGAAATGTAAATATGCCTAAATAAATGTGTATGCTTGGAAATGAACAGCCACGCCGGAAATGAGAGGTCATCATATATATTTGCAGTGTGCCTTCAAGTTAAAACAGCTTTAATGATAATTAAATAATTCAGATTCAGTAAATTAACACTATTTTATGCGACATCAAAAATTGTATCAGACACTGTAAAATAAGGTATGTCCAACTGCTAAACATGCTGCTTCCTTGGTATAGTGATTTTCCAAGCGTAGCTTAGATGTGGCACCCAGTGAGGATCGAACTCGCTACTCAGTCGTAATTGTTCTGTCGAGACAAGCTGCTTCCTTGGTATAACTCTTCACTGTGTTGCGTTCCAGCTATCATTTTTATTTATTATTCAATGTTGTTTTAGACATGTATTCATATAATAAAGTACTAAATTCAACTAAAATATCCATATATATATATATATATATATATTAAATATGTTGTGCATTTCAATTTATATTACAATGAATCGTTCATACAAAAAGTAAATTAGTGAAGTTAACGATATAAAATGGCGAAATCCCTTCAATAAGAAAATTTTAAAGGTACATTAACCTACTAATCACTCGATGAATTTTATGATCCTTGTTTTGTTTTGTTTTGTTTTTTTTTTTAATTTTAAGCTATATTAGGCCTTGCTTAAATACGCAAGTACTTTCGACTGTACATTCAGTCATCTTCAGGCATGGAAATTATTTTATAGAGCTTATAATTTTAAAAAAACAAGGATCATAAAATTCATCGAGTGGTTAATGCATCTTTAAAATTTTGTTTGCGATGGATTTCGTCATTTTATATCATTAACTTCACTAATTTACTTTTGTATGGATGATTCATTGTAATATATATATATATATATATATATGTGTGTGTGTGTGTGTGTGTGTGTGTGTGTGTGTGTGTGTGTGTGTGTGCATGTTTCATTAAAAACGACAGACATGGTACTACGGTTAAGCTTTTTATTTAATTTATCTTGCGCTCCATTAGAACCCATTTAAACACACACACAAATTTACCAGACTCCATTAGGAACATTCTAATAGAAAACACAAATATATTAACTGCATCCACCTGCAAAAAAAAAAAAGACTAAAACTAATGGAAGCTTTAATAATAAAAAAGAAAAAGCCAACTCTTAACAATATTAACTATGAACAAAGTCACAATGTGCTAACTTTATTCGGAAATTAAAAACATCCCTACCACACACTAAGACATACACAGAACGCACACACTCAATTAAGCTGAAAAATTGAATCATCCTTGATAATGGCTAAAGGTATAGCCGAAAGCGCTCGGAAATGTAAAATATTTGGACAGTTCTTACACACCCTTTGTCCAGAAAAGAAAGCTCTTGTTCGAAGACAAGAAAAATTAAATAAAAAGCTTAACCGTAGGACCTTGTCTGTCGTTTTTAATGAAGCATGCATAAAGGAAGGACTGCTGCCTAAATATATAATATATATATATATATATATATATATATATATATATATATTGTCAACTGACATGGAAAACTAAAAATGTGTTAAAAAGAAATTTCCATGCAGGAAAAATATAGTTCCATTGGAATCTCTGCAAATGTCTTGGATCTGGACAAAGAGATAAACGCCGCTCTCACAAGCCAATAAACGACCAAAAAAAAAGTACAAAAATAAAATAAAATGATTTTTATTTAATTTGCTTTGTTGTTTATTTAAATTCAGACAAACCTGGATAGATTTCAAGAATCCATCACCAGATGTAATCATTGTAATCAAAGACACCATTTCTTCACAGGTGAAATGAGACGAAAGGATAAATAAGAGGGTCATTCGCTAGAGAATAAGAAAACTGTGGGATATGAAAAGGAACATGGTGAGTGAATGAGCTATTACCGATTCCGGAACAAGTAACACCAACTTCTTCTTCTTCTTCTTCTTCTTCTTCTTGTCCCTTCAGGAAATTGGCGATCATGGCTCTTCACAATTTCCTGTCCTTTGTAGCTATTAATAAATTTTATCTATTTGTTATGTTTCCTAAACCCTGTTCTATTCATTTAAGCAAGCTCGCTAGGTGGGTTATGCGTTGATTTCATCTGTCCCTCTTGATTTCAATATGTCCTGTGAGTATCAAAGTTTCCAAGCCCTCTTTCCTCATTATGTGCCCTAGAAATTTCTATCGTATCTTTCCGTCCAATATAGCCCTTAATAAATTTGATATTTTTTGTTATCACTCCTAAAACTTGTTCCGCCATCCATTTACTCAGGCTCGCTAGGTGGGTTATGCGTTGTTTTCCTCTGTCCCTCTTGTCTTCAATCTGTCCTCTGAGTATCAAATTTTCCAAGCTCTCTTTCCTCATTATGTGCCCTATAAATGTCAATTGTCTCTTCCTGATGCTAAGTGTAAGTGTTCATTTTAGTAAATTCTCTAATACTTCTTCGTTGCTCAAATGTTGTGTCCATGGTATTCTCATCATCATTCTGTAGAAATAAATTTCTTTTGTTATTCTCGATGCAACGTAATCAAGTCCTCTTTAAGTAGAGGGATAGCGCAACATGATCTTCCTCTCACCTTTGTGTCTCAATAATATTCTTATCTAAACTTGGCAAATATCTAAGAAGATGTAATGAAATATATTCGGTCCGCCTCACTCTCCAAAATTAGCAATTTTCTAAATATGAGAATTTTCGTCAAAGCTGTTCAAAAATGAACCTAAGAAATACTATTCCAAGTTTTAAAATGTGTTTAGAGAATATGTTGAATAGCATGTAGGTTTCATGGGTGTAGTCATTCATTTTGGTGTGGCTAAGAATTATTCAGTGGGGGCTCGGATATTATTGACATCGTTATAGACTTAAATATAGATGGCGATGGATGTGTATAAACTGAAATAAATAAATTATAAATCAAGAACAATTGTCAACGAACACAACAACTTCATTTGATTTTTTTCTGCGCTCTTTTCAGTTCCAAGGGCATTTTTCTAATTCGAAAAGTAGAAGATAAAAATTCGTTTGAGGCATCGAAAACAATAAATACATTCCTCGTTATGTTGCTCTTTTGAGTCGGAAAGAAAAACGATACCTTTCTTGAATGCGTGGGGATGTAGATGAGAAGATGTACAATAAAGTCAAGGCCACTTGTTTTCTCTGCGAGAAGAAATGTAATCTTTAATTTACATCTGGTGGGATGTAGGCGTTCAATCATGAGTCACAATTAATATATTAAATAAATCTGTAATAATTGCGACATTTAAAATTACACTTAATACACTTTAATACACTTTTACAAAGTATTTGTTTATAAAGGTGTATGTAAATTGATTTTCTTTGAATCTTCACAGTAAACTGTCTTATTAATTTATATGTCCGTGGAATTGAACACGTGTCTAATATATAGAAATTTAATTGATTTTAGTAAATGTCATTAATAGCAGTTTATAGACGAAAAGGAAGTACAAAGGTATTGTATTAGAGATTCTCACATATTGTTTCAGTTGTTGTTGAGGCATATGATTTCTAATCGTTTAACTTTCCTATTTGACGAAAGATATTTGCTTTCGTGTAAACGAACAGGTATTTGCAGGATGATGAGTGTTAACAATATTTCGTGTTTATCTGTTTCTAGGTTCTTGAACTTACTCAGCAATTATTAGTTGAACATTTTTTGTCAAGTCATTTGTTTTCTACTACGTCTGCAAGACGTTAACCTTATTTTATATTTTTTTGACAGCTACAGTTGTTGATTTTATATTTCGTATGGAAGATCCAGGAGGATATTGATATTCTTTAATTAATATATATATATATATATATATATATATATATATATATATATATATATATATTAGAGTGTGCAGCTTATATATTATATCATGAAGAAGTAATTTATACAAATAATTAGTTAGCAATGTTAATGTGATTAATGGCGAAATCACTTCGCTAATAAGACTTAAGTTACTATCAATTCCTTGAATAATACGATCCTTATATTTGAGTTGTTGTCAGATAGAATTGACGATACAAGTACTTTCACCAATTTCAAATTGTCATCTTCGGGGCGCAATTTTTCCATATACAGGCAAAACATTAAGACGAAATTTGTGTAGTGTAAACCGAAAGATTTATTTTTTTAAATATCCTATTTATTGACAGTTATATTATTTTCGAGCGCGTGACGCCGCGACGCTAAAGTTCTTGTACACATTAGTCAAGTGAGAAATTTGGTTGAATTTGGTTGTAATGTGATAAATCCACGAAATTTTGTTATATGTGTTTGTCAGTTAAAATATCATGGACATATTTCGTCTTAGTGTTTTTGCCTTTATATGGAAAAATTGCGAATTGAAGATTTGAAATTTGAAACCGAAAAAGTACTAGGCTCATCAATTCCATCTGACAACGACAACTCAAATCTACAACAAATCAAATATAAGAGGATCTTATTAGTCAAGGAATTGATGGTAAGTTAATGTCCCATATTAGCATTGGTATTTAATTATTTGTATTAATTACTTCTCTATGATAATGGTATGGTTTTAAATCTATCACGAATGTGATCAACGATTTCGACCTGGTTATTATTATTTCACTCGTCTTTTTAAAAATGGTATTTCGGCTGTGCTTCCAAGCTTCCGCCGTCGTCACCATCAGTGTGGCTACCACCATCATCATTATCAACCCTTTCATTTTGATCATTCCTGCAAGGCAACAAAATTCTCTTGTTTTTATTCTTCATAACCATTCGGTCTTGTTCAATTCTTCATTCAATTATTCCATAATTTCTTTCTAAGTTTGTAACCCTTCAACTCTTCCCTCCCCTAACTAACTTTTCAATTTAAGAATGCTCATGAATATTAATTAGCCTAACAGAAAAATCTTAGTAAATTATGGATGATATTAAATGAAATACATAGGAAGGACTTCCCAACGTTTAGATTGTAAGATCAGGCAGCATGTTCCATTGCGAGTTCTTAATCCGGATGCCCGTAAGAGCCAGTTGGTTAATACTTCCGGGTCAGCGATCACTGAACATTTGATAAATTGCAGGGATTGTGAGAAGAACTTCAGTCCGAATTGCAATATTATACTGTCCTGTTCATTTGCGGGCAATTGAGTCTCTGTATATTCGGTCCAGGGAGCCGTCTCTTTGCAAGCAAAAAGACTGTCTCCTTGGGCTTCACGTTATTAGACTCTTACATTCCCCTCACACTCCCCCTTTTTTTTTCTTTGTGCTGTGCATATTCGCGCGGTTTGAAATATACTTCCCCCCCCCTCATACCATTAATCATTTCATTTTTTTAATGTTTTAATTGTATGTAGGGTGTTTGTGTGAGTCAATATATATTGCAATAATTGTTAAATTGTTCCCATTCGACCCTGATGAGCTTGGGAACGAAACCGGTTAGTCTGTTCTGTAAGTGTTATCATCTCTTATTTTTTATTTTTCATAATGCCTTTAAGAAATAATTTATATCTATTCCTTGCAATATTACGGTTCTGTACCTCCAACAATTTATTTAAATATTTATTTTAGTTTTATTAATAATATAATTAATATTTATGTTATTTTAATATGGCATTAATTTATGTAATATATATATATATATATATATATATATATATATAGGTTATGAATTTTGTGTGTTCTGTTTACATGCCTCAGAAACATTTACAACTATTTTACCTGTTAAATTTCGAATATTAATACACATCTGCTCTTGTCATTCAACAACTTGTTTTTCTATTTCATCATATGACATATTTCCAACCGATTCCCATTGTTCTCGTCTCTTCGTATTCATTCTATTTTAATCTAATCGTTTAGTTAATTTATTACTTCCTTTGTTTTCCCTGCCTATGAATGACAGTAACACCTGTTAAATGAGGATTAACTCCTAACGATAGTCTCTTTCTCTCTTTCTCTCTCACTCTCATTTTCTATCTCTCTTTCTCTCTCTTTCTCTCTCTCTCTCTTTCTCTCTCTCTAAGTCGTCTATGTTGATTCATGTAGAGGTAAAATTTTCATTTTCACTTACAAGATTCTGCCGATGATAAGAATTAATACAAAAATATTAACAAAATCATTTAACACTTATTAACTAAATACATTTTACATTTTCGATGTCTTAAATTTACTTATTAAAAGTATTGTTCATTTACTTTTTATCGCTCTATTTTTATTTGCTTTTAATTTTAAAATTCGTCAAGTTTTTTTTTTCTTTCAAATTTTCTCTTCATTCTGTTTTCATTTGTCACTGCTGTTATTTTCAGTTGATGTTAATCAATCTACTGTAGCAGAAGCAGCTGAATTGATGGTTTTCAATATGTTGAGCCATAGAACTTCAATGACAGAAATAATTTATTTAAGCTGTTGTGTGACAGACACAACATTTTAAATCGTTATGCTCTCGGGCCTTTTTCAGAAGGGGAAATCTTGTATTAGTTGAGTCTCCTATTATATCGATCCTGTTTCTTTTTTGTTCATTTCTGTTGCGACAGATTATATTCTCGGAATTGAACAGTAATGCATTCAACAAACGGTTATTCCTACAACACCGAAAATATATCAAATGATTCGGCATTTATTATTGTATTCGGAGAGTTAAACATTTCAACCATGTACACACCGTCTTTCTTCAGGTGACTGTTGTACTCATTTGACCTTTACGATTGGGGATATATTGTTTCATTTTTTCTTGCCATATTTGTATCTGTAATAACATCTATTTGTTATCCATGCCCCAATAATAACCAATGTTAAAAAGAATGTTTCAATGAATCAATTTATAATAAGCATTCTCTATGTAAAAATCTGTTTATTTGATAACAAAATTAAAAATAGTAATATGATCTTTAATTTTCCCTGTCATTAAATAAAGCATTGTCAACCATTATTACTTTTGAACTAGTTCCTTTTTGCTTCTGATTTTACCATCTTTTCATTGCGGTTACTGAAAAGACCATTAGTAAAGAATAAGGATAAGAAATGGCCGTAGAATAACGATCTCATAATATCGAGAGCTCCTTGAAAGCCGCCATCTTTGTCGTGATGGCGAAAGTAAGCGATTGCATGCGTGAATCTTGTGCTTCTCAATCTGACCGAGGCCTACAATTGCATCCGATTTAAGTAGTAAGTAAATCAGCCGAGCAGATGTTTGCTCTTGGTATCGATGAAATAAAACGAGTATTCAGGTAAAAATAAATAGATTGATTATTAGCTGGAGAATAAAGCATCATCGCAGAGGGTGAGACAGGATAACCCTAGATTTGTAATAAGGCTGTCGAGGTTAAGACCGGCATCCATGGCTTGCAGAATTCGAACATCCCCCGAAAGCTTCTAATTTCATTCCTGATTTCTTAATTTGCTCGAAGCGATCGAGGATTTTATCAGTTCACAGTGTAGGCAAAAACACCTATAACAAGATGGAAAAAAACTAGTAAAATAATAATAATAATAATAATAATAAAAGTTGTCAAAGTACAAGGACCTTGAAATAGAAATCTCGAAAATGTGGCATATGAGAACTTCAACAATCCCTGTTGTAGTTGGAGCCCTAGGACTGGTTGGAAAAGATTGCAGTAGACTAATTGAAGGGATTCCTGGAAGTCCATGCCTCAAGGAGATACAAATTTTTTTCTGACAAGTACAGCCCACACCTTACGAAGGGCTTTATCTATGTAATTTAATTTTTTTTTTTTTTTGTCAGTGGAAAGTGTCATGACGCCATTTTAACCTTAGGTCCTGGGCAGGACCCGGAAAGAAATGTAAACGCCAGAAATCAAAGAAAATAATAATAATAATAATAATAATAATAATAATAATAATAATAATAATGAGTGTATTAATTCAATCATTTAAGGTAAAGAGCACGAATTATAAGATGGACTTCAACTCGTAGTATAACAATGATAAATTATTTTTAATACCAGATTCTTTCAATATGTAGGTGCTTATGACATTGTCCAAATTTGTCTTGTGAAAGATAGTGGAATGGTTTCTTGTTGGTTTGGAATTTAAAGTTTTCATTCTCTTTTACTGTTTACCAACCAAGTTTAGAGAAAACATTCTACTGTGCTATTTAATCCAAAGCTAGTGGGGGTAGAATGGACAGATTCATACCTTTTCCCAAGAATATTTGAACGCAACAGACTCACCCGGAATTTGAACTCTTCTCGCCAATTACACTTTCATTAACCGTTGCGCCACCAACACATCCTATTAATTATTATTAGTATATTGCAAGCATATTGCCTACTGGATGTTAATAAACTTAGTTTAGTTTGGTACAAGGCTACAGGTATACAGCATCAAATGAAGATCGAACTCATTACTATTAAAGCAATGATCAATTAATTTACTGAAGCAGAATATTATGCTAAAAAGCAACAAAAATAACATGAACTAATAATGAATAAAAACAGAAAATTCTTCCTGGAAGATATATAAACAAATCTGTATACTAGATTAATAGTTGGTAAGCGAATAGGAAAAAAATGAAATACGACGAGTTTCGTTTAATCTCGGAATAAAACTCACCACTTTTTTTGCATTTTGGTATTCACTTACAGATCGTGACATCTATCAGAGAAATGAAATTTACATGTTTATTATTGCATTATTCCAAAATTTTAGCACATCAGCAGATAGCTATTAATGTCAACAACTGAGCACAAATAATTATTAATTAAAAAGATAGTAATTGATGTATAATATTATCCATAACTACATGTGCAAGAAGGTCGTTTTTGATAAAAGTTAAAAAATAACTATAGATACGTAAAAAATGCGTATATTGTCGAAAATTCCTTTTTCTACAATATAGCTATTTGTGCTATGTTATAATGCTTATTACCTAAACAATAATAATACTGAATATTTTTTAAACATTAAAGTATCTATAATCACACCTCCCTAATAGCTGTCGCGATCTGTTAAAATACATTATCTAAACATTTTATTCAAAGTTTATTAATATTCCTGTAGAGAGGCCGATCCCTACTTAATGTTTCAGATTTCGAACCTCGTACTTTAACTAATCTACACTGAACATGTCCGTCGCTAGTTGAAAGCACAAGCTTACCAATGTTTTCCATTGATTACTTGTCTATAACAGTACTTATCTGAACATCTCTTTCAATTTGGGCTTTCCTAATCGACGTCTTTCATTTCTCGATCGAATCCGAAACAAAAATCAGCATTCTTTGATCCTAGTCATGACAAATCAGCTGATCTAGAATCGTCCTATCACGATGGCTGACACTCAACCAGACAAGCGTCACATCTTTTCCATTCCCACACTACTCTATAATATCCTCCCAGTTTTGTTCTGTGATCCTGCCTCATCAAGGCTAAACATATCATCGACCACAGGCTCACATTGCGTTGTAGTTCGAAATTTACTTAGCTTATCATTAGGCTGGCTAATCGATAGACCCATAATTTTAGTGAAAAGCTAAACCTGCACGCTATCTATCTATCTATCTATCTATCTATCTATCTATCTATCTATCTATCTATCTATCTATCTATCTCTGTTTATATCTATCTATCTATCTCTGTTCATATCTATCTACTGCACTTTATTCAGGTCTATCTTCCTCTTTTCTAGATTCATAATTCAGTTGACTCAGCTCATTATCTCTTTTATTTGTTCTGTCAATGTAAATATTGACTGAACTTAGATTAGTCTGGTACAAGGCCGGATATTGGGAATCTTGCGTGGTTTAACTGTACTAAATAATACATTTCATTTTATTTTTTGCTATCGATTAGTCGAAATTATTTTTATATTATTATTTTTATGGCCGTCATTATTTTATTGTGCATTATTATTGAATATTAATGTTATAGAATTTTATTACTGGATATTATTAGTGCTATTCTATATTAAATCAAATTATTATTATTATTATTATTATTATTTGTAAGTTCTTTATAAGGTGTATGCTGTACTTGTGAGTACAATTTCTTGTATTTGTTTAAGGCATGGGCTACCAGGAATCCCTTTAAGGAGTCCATTGGCATCTTTTCCAATCAATCCGAAGATGTTGAAGTCCTAATGCACCACATCTTGGAGATTTCGAATTTAAGGTCTTGCATTTTAATAGTTTTCTGAAGATACATTACGATGTGCGTGGACTGCCATGTCAATGAGAAGGCAGATTTTGTTTTTAATCACGGTGTCTGGGCGATTAGCTTCTGAATATAATCTTTTTGTGTGTATTGTAAAATTGTTACCGAGTGGTGTTCATACCAATTTTTTATAGTTTCTTCACTGACATAATCTGGATAAATGCAGTTGTTTATGTCGCAGGTAGATTTTTCAGTTTTATTTCATGAAAGATTATTTATTTTAGTTTTTAACTCATCCTCTGCCATATTTCTTATTTGAGTGAATGGGTTATTGTATTCTTTCTCATATTTCGCTGTATCTGATCTATTTCGGCATTTAAAAGTCTTTTGTTTCGTACGATGTCCCCTTTCGTTCACTTTCGTTTTATTAATTGATTTGGCATCGAGTCACTTGGTCCAAGGTTGGAAATAGTCCGGGTTTGGTGACCAGGAGTCTCTTCGTTGTTGGAAGAGTTTGTTCCAGTGACAGATTTTTCGGCCTCAGACGGGTTCCTCTCTGAGGGACGCGCCATTTATTGACCCGGGTGACGACCGATCCGGTATGAAGATTTGTTTGTAAGCACTGAAATTTGTAAATTTTGCGTTTTATCAGGAATAAAGAACTCGTTCTGTCCATGACGTGGGGGATTTAGATGTCCATGGGTCAAGAGTTTATCATCTAGTACTGCATTCAGGGAGGTAACGTAGTGATATGAAATTGGTATTGACTATAATAAATTTTTACTTATACTTAGTCGCAACTAAGCACTACCAGATGAAATGTCAGAGATGGACATACTTATAAATTGAGGGTTATCACGAAAACAAACAAAAGAAAAGAAAAATAAGATGAAAAATATTAAAGATAAATATTCAATGATAGTTAACATAAAATTAAAGAAAAGAAAAATGTAATGCGTAAACTTTGCATGGCTGACATTAAAATATGTAAGTTTATAAAAAGAAAAACGCTATATGTCTGTTACTAATTAATGATCTATCTATATCAGTCTGTTCTTATCTATCTCTCTATCTATCTATATATCTACCTATGTCTGTTCTGTTCTTTTACTAGAATTGCTTTCCTAATCACGATCTCAAAAACTGTATTAACATGAGGACCTGCATGTCGGTGTGTATCCCTATTAATATGAGGACCTTCATGTCGGTGTGTGTCCCTATTAATATGAAGACCTGCATGCCGTTGTGTGTCGCCGAATGACTTTAGATGTGGGCTTCTGGATTGAGATTATGCCGAGTTCCACTTTTCGAACAATGATTTCCCACATTTTACACTAATTTCCTCTTCTGTGATTTTCCTTCTCTCACACACACAAAAAAATGTCATCACTTTTAACCTTCAAAATGGCGATATTGCTTTGAGCCTTTTATTATTTGGCCTCAACTTTCATTTTCCACGCCATCTCATCACCAAGTTCCGACCTCAAAGAAGCCGATAATTGAACTCTCGCAACTATACAGACTCGTCTAGTCACGTTTTAGTCTCAACGTGGGGGCAGAAGAACTTGTGTGTTTAGATTGATGGTTAAGACATTGGACTTTATTGCAAGGCCAAGAATTTATACCAATGCCGTAATATTTAACCAGAGGGACATTTTTCCAGTTCCTTTATTTAAAAAAAATAGTGATCACATTAAAATTTTATCTGTCTCTCTATCTATCTATCTATCTATCTATCTATCTATCTATGTCTGCTAATATCTATCTAGAAATGAACAGTATCTGTTCTCCTCATTTGAGAATACGCCTGATCCCGGGGATTCCTACTCTTCCGCAGTATCTTCCTCATTGCACTAAAACGGCTAAAAAGGGTGAGGTGTGTGTAATATCGACGACAGCCTGAACCTGCTCACGGGGAATGGGTAATTTTTGCTCCTATCTTTTATGTATGCATATGTGCACCCCACATAAAAATACCTTATGCCACATTCTACCTTATTGGGGAGAGTGAGGTAAATAATTCTCTATCTCAGTTCGTTCATATCTAACGTTTGATTATATCTTATTGATTATAACTTAATAATAATTCGGATTTCAATCACCGGATGCTCCTAATACATCTCCTTGTACCAGACAAAGTTCACTTATCACATTTTTCCATCTCTGTTATTATTTTATTTTTTATCTTTCGAGAGTGAAGAATGGAAAAATAAGCGTAAAGGGAGAAAGGGAAAAGAAGTGACATCGACTTAAGAAAAGAAATAGTTTTACAGAACCATTTCAAGAAAAAATGATTTGTCTTGAGAAACGATTATCGGTTTATGATATGTGTGGATCTAAATGTATATATTAATTGTTCGACTAGTACATCAAATTGAAAGAGGATCGTGATCCAATGGCAAGAAAACTTCATTTGAGGAAAGTCGAAATCACACAATATTAATTATGGATTAATAGGCCTAATTGTCTGCGTTGAAAATATTTAATGACAGAACACGAATAAAAATGTGTACACAGATTAAAGATAGTTAGACATATATATTAGCAGCCAGAGATAGATAGATAGATAGATATTAGCTGACATATATATATATATATATATATATACAGAGAGAGAGAGAGAGACAGAGAGAGAGAAGGAGAGAGAGATATGGTAGCATAGATAAATATTAGAAACAGCGATACATAGATAGATAGATTCATAAATAGATATGAGCAGACATATATATATATATATATATATATATATATATATATATAGAGAGAGAGAGAGAGAGACAGAGACAGACAGACAGAGAGACAGAGAGAGATAGTGCGATGGATAGACTGTCGTCTAAATTACACAAAATTGACAATAACACTGACATCTCATTTTAACAGATATATTTACCAAAATTACACAAAAGTATCTTGAAATACTAGAGAGTAAATTTCTTCAATAAAATCGCCATTGGCTTCAACCACGGCCTGCAGACGACTTCGGAATCTTTTGCATTTCTTCTGGACTGTCTCCTTGTTTAAGTTGGTGAATGCTGCCATAATCATTGCCTTCAGTACATCTTTCGTGTTACGAGAAGTTTTGTCGGTCTCTCTCTCAACTGTGCCCCACACATAATAATCAAGGGGATTTCAGTCAGGGGTGCCAGGTTGCCAGATGTAAGGGGTGATGTAGTAGCAGAAATTGTCTGACAGCCATGACTCAGTTCTCCTGCTTGTGTAACATGGTCAAAAGTTCTATTGCCAGGCATCTGGCCTTTCAGCACTTGCTCCTCAGGGCATTTGATGTAGGCCTCCGTGTTGAGTCAGTGGTAAGATGAATAGAGGCATAACGTCCCCATTACTAGTGATCACTCCAAACACTATGATGCCTGCATATTGTGACGTCCCCCGGGTCTCGCCGCGCCAAACGTGACGCCCGCCTGTCTGCGTCAGTCGTGCTATCCTGTCTTGTGACGACAAACTGGCTTGGTATTGGTCGCGGCACCAAATGTGACGTTCTAACCTTTTGGTGATTCGGATGGGAATCTGGTTAGATTCGGTATCAGCCTTGTCGTTCCCAGCTCGCCTCCAACGTCTGGTTACCGAAGTAACTGCTTTGATTTCCAGTCCAACCTACCCACGTTTTGAATTGATCTAGGCAGACGAAATCAATCAGTCGCTGGGCCGTACTGCAAGCTGAGTTCGAATAAGGGTGATATCGCACAAGTATGTGTAACAGAAAATAAAATAATAATTCGAAAGGTTCAAATGTGTAAAAAAAAGGATAACAATACTTTATATCTGGTTGATGAGTACAGGACTGAGTTTTCTTCCCAAACCCGCTATATGGATTCGTGACACTTTGTTTTTGTTAGGCGAGTCTTAACATCTCAAGTTGCTTGTTCTTTTAAGAAACTGGTTCTTGGTGTGTCTTCAGGCGAAATTCGTAAAACTTGGTTTGGTGGTGTGAGTCTAAGTCGTTCTTCAAAAATAAATTGTTCTTAGTTAGAAGATGAGTCGGAATTGCGTGAATCTTTCAAGTCAGCTATCTGCGAGGCGGGACCAACTTCAACTGCGAACTTCGAACTCCAACTCGAACTGAAAACTTGACTGGAACTGAACTCTCGAACTCGAACTGATTTTCGCTCGCTGCGACTTTGCTTATATGGACGCCGACCGAAACCTGGGTGGGCTTGTCGGGGTTTGAGGTTCCTTGATAATTCCAAACCCACAATCCACTTCTTTGTTTTCGGTCAGGAAAATTTTATTCTTTTCCATTTTTGGAAGTCTTCCCGTCCTCCCACCCTCTTCTGTTCTCATATTGGTATCTCACCATACCCTCAGAGGGCGTCAACGGCTTTCCATCTCTCTCACAGTGATATCTCACACCTATCCCCTCAATGGGTGCCAGCAGGCCTCTTCTCCTGCCTCACATGATCTCCTCCGCCTGGCTCTCGTTATCATTCATCCAATGGACGCTCAGCAACGTGGGTGTGGCCAGACTAGCCTTGTTTTTAACAAAATCTTGCTCAAAGAAAAAAAAGAATTTTATCTTCTTTTTTCTTTTTTTTCACTTTTCCTTTTCTTTCTTCTCTTCGAGGAAACTCACACCCTAGACTTTTTTTATCTTTTAACCGAATTACCTGGAATTCGTCAAATGAGATTTTCGCCAATTAACAAGTGGGTGGTCAACCAGACATACTCACTCTCCTGGCGCCAACCACTGATACGATAAAACAATTTCGCCAATTCACAGCCGAATTCATATGGAAGTCGTCAACAAAATTTTCGCCAATTATCAAGTGAGTGGTCAATTAAACGTATTTTCATTCTTGGTGCCAATTTCTGATCCGATAAAATAGTTTCGCTGTCACAGCCGAATTTCAACACAAAACAGATGCCTTGTCCAAATGATATCTTCCCATCGACAAAGGCTTAACCTATAGTTTGGTCTTTTGTTTTTTTTTTCAACTCTTCTGTGGTCAACGGACATTTTTGTTTCTCGGTCAACAGATGACCTATTTAATTTTTATCTCTTTAGAAGTCTGTGGAAGTTCAAAATGACATTCCCGTGACACAGTTAAATGTTTATCTATTTAGAATTTTGTCTCTGATGTTATTTGGCCAACGTGGAACTTCCACTCGACCCGTAACCTAAATCAGATTAATTCCAGTATCTTCTTTTTTTTTCTTCTCGACAATAGGAAATAAAAATTTTACCACTTTTTCTTGTCAGAAAAATAACACCGCTTAGTGTCCTTTTCGTGATGGCTTTTTATCATCTAAATTTCATTCTCGCCTTTCTTTTTCTTTCTTTCCTTTTTCTTTTCTTCTTCTAGCAACCCTAAATGGTGTCACAATATATCATCCAACTTTTTTCCGAATCTTCTGCACTGTTCTCAGATTGATACCCAAATACTCCGAAATGTTCGTATTTGATCATGCGGTGCGAATGCCAAGCAGTACAGCATGCCGTATCGCACATTTCTGGCGGAGTGAATTGCGTCATTGTGCTCTTTTACTCACAGACGGTGCCCAACTGACCCTACTATACTCTGCAGTCGACAAAATCAAAAACAAACAACGCACCAACACGAAATTAAAATATAAAATGGCGACAATTTACTCATCGTAATCTGCTGATATTAGCAGAGATAGATAGATAGATAGATAGATAGATAGATAATGCTTGACATAAATATTAGTATAATTCATCTTGCATATACATATATAGGTGCGTGTGTGCGTGCGTGTGTGTGTGAGTTTCCTTGTATTTTGTACATTATATATATTATATTTTATTGAATGTATATGCCGATACATAGATCCATCTCTCTTGAACTGTTCATTTCTCTTTATCTTATTCTTTCCATATATATATATATATATATATATATATATATATGAAGAAATATAGTTTTAAGGTGTGCCATATTTATGAAATAAAGTGCTCAATATCAGAGATAGAGCGTGTGTAAATATAAATATAAAAGTGAACATTGAAGTCAACACTAAAAAATGATAAAAATATAGTTTTATAGTATGCTATATTTATGGCCAAATGTGCTTAATATCAGAGTTAGAGCGTATATAAATATAAAATATGTACATGGACACTGAGGCTAACAGCTGATGGCGACAGTCTCTTTCGCACTTGTTCTTTATTCTCTTGAATACTGCATTTTAACCCATTGAGATTTGCGTTCCTGAACCATTTTAACCCTTCTGCCTGAGCACCTGAGTCAAAATTCCCAGGTAATTGGTATGTAATGTTTCACGGTAGATATAAAAAAATAGTTACAAGTGTTTAACCACCGTTCAACCGGTGGCTGAGCATTAAGTCATTTTTTCTACCACCGTTCAACCGGTGGCTGACCATTACGTCATTTTTCTCTACCACCGGCGGTTAAGTTTCAAAGGGTTAATGTGAAATCAAGAAGTAAAAGTAGTTTTATTACATTTATAATACGGCGATCCATGGCGCAAGCATACTAGCTTATTTACCAGTGCCGATACACCACAGGATTTAAGGTTAGGTTTTTGTAACTGTTGTGTCTGACCGTCCATACTTTGGGGATAATATTTAAGATTTAAAGATCGCCTTATACGCGAAAATTTACGGTATTTATGTATGTGTGTGTGTGTTTGTGCGTGTGTGTATATGTATGTGTGTGTATAACTCACATTGAATTTAAAAATGTCGATCAGGGTATCAGTAGCGAATATAGCTTTTAAGGTAGGTGAACAATCTCCGTAAGTAAAATGCTTAATATTAAAAGAAATAAATCATTCGTAAATG